TCCCCTCCCAGACATGTCCCAGTAACGAGTTCTCTGGAAGCGGGTCTGCTCCCAGGTCTGGGTTCAGGGCCGCTGGTGAACCCAGCCACCGCCCTCAGGCTAGCCACCCCGAAGGGGCTCTAAGAGTGGAGTTTAGAGCGGGGCTGTGCGGGGCATGCAGTTCCCTCCCCACTGACTCCCACTGGGGCTCCTGCAGGAGAACACCTAGCTGCCCCATGGAGAGGGGGTCCTGGGATGTGCCCACCTGGCTTCGGCCCTTCATCCTAAGAGGAAACACTCACCGTCTTCCCCCTCAGTTCTCCCCACTGTCCCCAAACTCCTTATCAGTAAGGACAAGAACTCTGGTATAAAAGGGAGATGAAAGAGGTTGCGGGGGGGGGGGGCAGTGGTGGTGGGAAAAGGGGGTCTCAGAATTCCCCAGAAGGGAAGCCTGGGGGTACAGTGGGCAGGCTCCTTCCTAGTCCCAAGGAAGCAGGGGCCTGGGGACATCCGTCCTCTACCTTTCTCTCCCCTCTTAGGGAAACTTCCTTTCCTGTTGGACTAGGAGGCAGACACGCAAAACAGGGCGGCCTCTGGCTTAGTCACCCAGGAGGAGTATGAGAAGGGGAGCGCGGCCCTCTCAGGACCCTGCCTGTTACCTTACTACCTGGCCCCACCTCCCACTTGCCCCCTGTTCCCGGGCAGGAGGGACGGAGGGAGTTTCTAACACTCCCTGCAGCTGTCAGCAAGTCTGGGACCTCCCCCGCGTGAACTTTCTAAGTCTCCCCTCCGAGGAGACTCCCCTCCTGGCTCTCCCTTCGGGGCCCCCAGCACCTCCTGGGAAAGGACTCATTCTACAGAAAGGGAAGGGGAGTCTGGAGGGTGTGGGACCAGAGATGAAAGAACAGGATCTGGAGTGGGAGCAAAGACTTGAAGAAACGAGCCCCAGACCTGCAGACGAAACGCAACTGCTGACAGCACGTGTGAGGTGTCTGTGCTAATTCACCTCCGAAGACCCCCCTTTTCCACCCCATCCCCCCGAGGAGCTGGGGCCATGAAAGCCAGATGGGGGAGGGAAAGGAAAATCTCTTCCATTCTTCCTTCCCCCAACTCCCTGATACTGCCCACCCCCGTCTCTATGGAGGGGGCTGAGGTAAAAGCCCATTAATGTGCAGAGCCCCCCACCCATTCTGAATCTTCTCACAGGATGTGAACAGGGTGGGATTTGGCCCCGGTTGCCACAGCAACTGCAGTGGGAGTTCCCAGACGCTAGGCAACCCTCCCATGACCCTTGCTGACCTGTCACCCCCGCAACCAGAGGACAATAGGAGTGGCGGCTCTGGAGGCCCCGGACGCCTTTCAGCCCAGCCGCTCTGCCCGCTGCCGGGCCCCCCTGCCCTAGTCCTCCTGGCCCCAAGTCCAGCGAGCATCCAGCCTGGCCCCTGAAACCTCCCCAGGCCCTCCACCAACTTCCCTAGAGCTGCCACACACCCCCAGCCCCGGCTGCGCCCCCATCGGAAAGCCCAAAGGATATTTATGGAGACCCCAGGGAAAACCCTACACCGGGTTTTTTTTTTTTTTTTCCCAAAAAAAAAAAAACACTTTTTTTTGAACGTTTTCAAACAGGTGAAGTCAGATTAGGAGAAAGTGCAAGGGCAACCTTCAAAGAAAAAATACCACCCTAGAGGGGAAATGTGGGCCAAAGGAGACTCTGGCTTGGTGAAGGAAGGCAGGGGTTGATGGGCAGCTGGCATGCCTGTTGGGTTCAAGGCATCTCTAACAGGATCACCAACCCCAGCAGGCCAGCGGGGTGCTGGGTGGAAAATGAGCTTCCATGCATGTGCTGAGTGAATGCGCACTCCAGGGCCCACGGTTCTCCCCCTGCCTCCTTCTCAGGGGAGATTCTCCAGGACTGGAGACAGGTGAAAGCCCCAAGGACAGAGTGGAGGTGGTGTGGCTCCGTCACTCACCGCAAAGGGGGCTGGGAGGAGGGGGCAGGAAGCTGGGGCCTTGGCTGCGGGACCGAGGCAGGACAGCCAGACCAGACGGGGACCCTCTCTCCAGTCAGACAGGGCCGGGCAGCCCAGCCCTGCCCCCCCCCCAACCCCACCCCCTGGCTGCCTCTGTTTAAACAAGCTCTCGGCCTGCTGTTGCATGGAAACCGGCGCCTGCTCTTGTTCCAGAGTGACGTGGCTGCCCTCTTCAGCACTGTTTGTTTCAGCCTAAAGTCCTGTCACCAGCCTGACTTCTGACTCGCCCTGTTTATCTCTCTCTCTCCTTTGTCAACTCATTACTCCCAAAGGCCAAGACTGCATTTCCAGGGCTTGTTTATCCAGAGCAGAGGGGCAGGGACCAACCGACAGATGGACAGACGGACAAGGGGAAGGGAGCCACGGGGGCACGAGGAGGAGGGACCAGGGCGCCGTCCGCAGACCCACTCACAAGCCCTGGAGTGGCCACTTAGAGCCGGCGGCCAGTGCTGTTTTTTGTTGGTTTGTTTTAAGAGCACTTTTAGCCTGAGAGTGGAGAGCTCTCAGTCACTCACAGACAGTGGTTTATTTAGCACCTAGTAGGCGCCAGTCCTTGCTGCCTCGGGGATTGTGAAGTGCAGTAGGAGGCGAGCCCTGCAGGAGGAAACTCTAGGAGCCAGGAGAACTACCATCCCTGGCACCTGGACAAGTCAGTGCTGCCTCTGGCTGCCCCCTTATCTGTGATGTGGGAATAACAACAACACAAACTTCCCCGAGAAGGTGAGGGGATTAAAGACCCAAAGCATCAAACAGTCCTTGTTTGTCCTCCAAGGACTTCCTGATTGGGGTTGAGAGGGAGCAGGCACTTGCTGGGCCCAGCACTTTTCCTCCATTCACTCTCCCCACAAAGAGTCAGAGACATTTGTTGGCGGGGGAGGGGGTAACTAGAAATCGTTACCCTGAAGCTCCCTCACCCCCGCCCGCCCCAAAGCTTCACTCATATATTGGAGGCAGAAGGATGGCCCACAGACTGTTTCCTTTTAATTGACAACTTTGTAATTTTAATTTTGCAGGGTTCTTTTCATAGTTTAGAGCCAAGAAAACCTTTTTTAAGTCTCAAATATTTTCCTTGGCCCTAGGCACTACGCCCGTAGTGAGCGCAAATGGATAAACCAGCCCTCCCTCTGCCTGCCTCCAAATCTCCACCCCAGTTTATTTGTGAAACAGATATAGGATTTTCCAGGACTTTGGGATATTCACCAAAACAAACAGGGATAACTGGAACGTGGAATATAGATGGTAAAACATGGCCTGAGTGCAACGCACAACACAGAAACCTGATCAGTACAGACAGTCCCGTCTTTCCCCACCCCACACCTCTCCCCGCTTAATCCTGCTCACTGGGGCTCAGTCTTCTTTTTAAATAATTTTTTAAAAGAAACTTTCCCCCTGGCCTTCCTTCCACTTTCACAAATTTTCATAGCTCTGTCTGCCTAGAGGTGCGAAAGAAGTCTTCACCCATACAGAATGGGTGGCCGTGGAGATCTCTGGCCTGGTGTGTTTTGTTATTGTGTTGATAAAGGGTAGAGTTCTGCCCTTTGACTCTCTGTCCCCCACAGACGGTACAGACTCTGTGGGTCTCTTCCCCAGGGAACCTGCTTAGGCAAGCTTGGGAGATGCCTGTGAACTGCAAAGGATCATCTCCCTGGAGAAAGGAGACAGGCCCTTTCTACTTAAGTTTCCACTGTTTGCAAGAGGAAGGGATTTTTTTTTTTTTTTTTTTTGAGGAAGGGATTTTTAAGGTCCTCAATTCTGTTCACACTCGATGGATCAGTCACTGGGGGAAGGATTTCACACCCAAACTGCATCTGATCCTAACAGTCCCTGTGCTTCAGGTGCCGAGGCCCAGGCGGACTGCTCGGAAGGAGAGGTGGCGACGGAACCTGGGTGTGTTCATTTCCTGCGTCAGTCCTGGCTGGCCAGCTCCAGGGTCGGCCTTCTGACAGTGCTGCTTCCAATCTGACCTCTGGCTTCAAGTGTGGTGGGAAAGGGCTCCTTAGGGGCTAAGAAGTGGGCGAAGGGGCCCCAGGGTGGACCTGGGAGGGAGCAAGAGGGTGATGTGGGTACAGACACCTGTGCACACAGGCAGGGAGGGGTACAGGCCGGGAGGGAGGTGCAGGACCCGACCTTTCTGCATTCCCGACAGAGCCCCCTGGGGTAATGCCACCAGCAGTGATTTGAGAAGCAAAGTCAAATAAGAGAAGGAGCATCCCAAGGCCAGGCTGGCTGGGCCGGTTCTCCTGAACTTGTCAAGCATGATTTTCCCTTTTTCCCCGGGTGGGGCCGGGAACTGGGGCCCCTGCTCTGTCATAACCCAACCAGGCTCCCCACCCTAAGGCCTCCTGATCCTCAGAGAGGCTGGTCTTGGACTCCTGACCTCTGCAGTTTAGGGTGGGAATGAAGGGGGAAGAGGGAGGAGGGTACAGACAGAGGTTCCCAGTCCGGGCCCTAAAAATGGAGGCCTGCCTCTGCCTGCTCCTCTTGAACTTCCCCCAGGTGCACTGACCCCTGGTGCCTGTGAGCTGACTCACAGCCTGGATCAGGGGCCCCAGGCAGAGGCGCAGGTGGGGAACGCATTACAATACAAACAAAGTAAAGATACCAGTGTGTGCAGAGCCCCCTCGGCCAAAGAGCATACACCCAGAGCAGGGCCTCCCTCCCCTCAACCCTGTTTGTTAACTTAGCCAGAGTGCAGGAGGAGAGCCCAGGTGTGAGCCTGCTGTCCAGACATCTGTCTGCCCTTGTGGGCATTTCTGAGCCTAAGCCCGGAGATCTCAGGGCCCCCAGCCACACCACCCTTTCTGGAAGAGCTGCTCTTCCCTGGCCTTAGTGATCACTAGAGGGAGGGGGGTGGTCTCTGCTGGCTGGACCTTCTCAAGAAGGTTAAGGGAAGGTAGCTAGGCTGAAAGCAGAGGCCCCCCAGGAGCCAGGATGTAGGAGCAGGGGTCTGGCATCCCTTCCAGGTGGCTGGGGAGGCGTGCTGGCTCCTACCTGTTGCTGCTGGAAGTGCAGGAGCTCCGCAGGGCTCATCTCGCCGTTGCTGTCCGCGCCCACGGCTGAGTCCCTGCCCGCACCGCCTGCGGCAGGGCCTGCAGCCCCGCCGCCGCTACTGCTGCCGCCGCCGCCATCGGCCTGCCCGGAGAGGGTGCCCACGCCGTTCTGACCAGACGGAGCTGACCTGATTGTCTCCGAGGCGGATTCCACCATCATGTCGCTCTAGCGGGACCTGGAGAGGGAGGAGAGACGTGGGGGAGGGGCTGAGGCTCGAAGGCTGGACGGGCAGAGCTGGCCAGCAAGGGATGCCCCCCAACACCCCCGTCCCCAAACAACACAACCCCACCGAGTCCTGGGGCGGCTTCTCCCTCTCAACTTCCTGAAGGCCGACCCTGGGACCCCTGTTGGGGCACAGACCCTCCTAACGTCACCCTCCCCCCAGGCCGAGGTGGGGGCAGCTCCAGACTGTAGCTGAGGTGCGCCCATTGCCCCATATTTCCTCGAGGGGGCGAAGCCCCACCCCTAAACCTGTTCAGGCCTCTCCCTCCAAGCTAGTGTGTAAGGCAGAGCCAGGATGGGCAGGGGTCTGCAAGGACTTAAAAGCAGGTGAGGTATTCACTGGGAGCCACCATATTGCTTCCCCTCAACACCTGTGATGCCCATTGTGTTTATTCCCCCCAGACCGAGAGCTCCCCAAGGGCAGGGCCTCCTTTCCCAGACGCAACACAAGCAGCTGCCATCTGCCTAGCACCTACTACTGGATGCCAGTCCCTCAGCTGGGCCTGGAGCTGTGCCCCAGGATCGGGGGTAGCAGGTGGTCCAACACCCCTGACCTTCCATTCTAAGGCCCTCAGCCCAGCACCTGGCCCAAAGCTGATTCGCTGTGTTTACTGTCTCCACAGGCACCCGGACCCCTTCTCACAAGAATTGTGGGAGACCGCTCCTTTCATCCCGATTTTACAGATGGGAAACCGAGGGTCCAGATCGTCAGGAGATTTACCCAAGGCCGAGCTAAGGCCTGAATCCTGTGTCGTCTTCCCCCATGTCCCCAAACTGCCTCTCAAGCAGTGGCAAAAACATGCTCAGAACGACAAGAGGATATGACTGGGATGGTCAAGGCCAGTGAGGAAGGGGCCTGCGGTTCCTTCTGCATCTCATGGAGGTTGCACTATCTCAGACACCTGTTACACAGGCCGAAGCAGATGGGGGGCTTCAGTGGGCTGAGATGTTCTCAAAGGCTGGGGTCTCCAGCTGTCGCCAAAGCCACAGTCCCTTGAGAGGAACACTGATTTCAGCCAACAAGACACAGTGGTACCCACTACTGATCTCTGACAGGAGTCTTAAACTCCCTACCTCAGTTTCTTTGTCTGTAGAAGGAATTTCTCCCAGCCTCAGAGTCCCGTGAGGAGTAAATAAAAGAGCACACACAAACCACCTGCAGAATCAAGGGCCAACAATGATTGGCCCCTTCTTCACCTGTCCTCTATCTACAAGTAGAGGATGAAGGCCCTGGGCTCGGAGAGGTCGAAGACTTGGCCCAGATCACACAAACAAGGGGTGGAAGTTAGCCGGTGATCTTTCCTCCCCTTCTTGATTCCCTTTGGCCTTTGCAGACCCCACAGACACATGGAGTCCCTGGCCCAATAAGCGGGTACAGGAGGGCCTTAATAGACCAACGGCTGGAAGAGATTGATTGCCTTAGTTTCTTCTCCAAGGAGGCAGCTCCCAAATTCTTTCACTCTGGAAGAATTCTTTCCCGTCACCCTACTGAGCCCCTTGCTGTTTTTGTCCCCACTGTCAGCAGAATGGGAAGGACAGTGAGGGTGTGGGGGAACTGGGGGGACAGAGCGCTGCCGAGGGCCCATGAGGAGGCCACTAGTCCACACATGCCACATCACACTTGCTCTTGTGATGACCTGTGCGGCCTCCTGGGTGACCCTGCACTGCTGGAGTGTCCCTTCTTCTCTGCATGCTCCCAAGGGCTTTTTACAACCCCCTCCTCCCCCCAGCTGCAGCTCCCAATCCTGGGTTCTGAGAGGAGTTGGGCCGGGGGCAAGGGCAAGGTTGGGGGTGACGGTTCGGAAGAGATTGAGCACTCGGTCTTGGGCCTTAATGGCCGTGTCAGCCCGGGGGCCAGTGGCTGCCAAATGATGGATGGGGTGGACACCATCCTCCACCCACCAGAGCACAGGGCTCCAGCCCCCTGCCCACAACCACCCACTCCAATCCCCCCCAGCAGCCTACAGAGAACCTTCCTGCACTCAGGCCTGGGCCCCCCGCCACCCGAGCAGGAGACAGCAGGGCCGCTCTGCTCTCCCTCAGCCTGACCCTGGCCCTGATTCCAAGTCTAGCTGCCCTGAGATCTGAGAACTCCTGGGCCCCTGGGGACAAAGACCAGAGCCTCAGGAGTGTGTGTGTGTGTGTACAGGAGAAGAGAGAATCCAGCAGTTTCTTCCTTGGGGTAAGGGAGAATACCCCCCTTCCCACACTCACACACACCATAAAGTTGATCAGACAGCAAGTTTGGAGAAAAGGAGAAAAAAGAAGGATGCAAACAGAAGTGTCCTTTTCTTTTCTTTTTTATTGGGGGGGAGAGATAGAGCGACACCCAGTGAACAACATAATTGCTGCAATGTGGCATGTAATAATAGCTATTCAAGGGCTGATCATTCATATTAAACAGGGTGAAGCAAGCCTCTCATTTGCATGCTTGAGATTATATGCATTTGAAAAGTCATTTCCGCAGGGTGTATGAATGGCATTAATTCCCACGTGGCCCGCTGCTCTGCCCCCTCCCCCGGGCCTTCAACTCCTTCCAGGCTCCTGCCCGCCCACCAGCACGCACCCAAACCTGCAGGTGAGTGCTCCCAGGAATCTCCACACCCTCACCTCTGCCCTGAGACACCTGCCCTCCCGAGGGGAAGCACCCGGGCAGCAGGCAGCCTCATGCTCGTCTCTCTGCTGGGTGATGTAACAGCACTGGGGTGTTCCCTGCACTGTGGGTGAGCAGGTTCTGGGTGCCTGGGGCCCAGCCAGGTAGGGGTGGGGTGGCTGGGGTGGGGTGCTGGAGGCAGGCCTTGATATCAGCGCCTGCTTCCCATATGGATGGGGGAGAAAGCCAATGTCCATGGGAACCTGGACTCTGGCTGGAGGAGACAGGGGCCTGAGGGTCAGGGCGTCTGAGCTCAGTCACAAGCAGCTGTGACTCTTTTCCCTCTTCCTCCAGGCTTCCATTTCCCTGTCTCTGTGTGGCGAGGTGGTCCTGAAGGTCTCTTTGGACTTGGAAGCTCCAGGAGGAAAACTCCCCCGTCAGTGTGTTCATAAGAAACCACCACGTTCTAGTGACGGCTGAGAGACACGGAGGGTCTACCTGAATCACAGCTGGCCCTTTCCCAAAGGGAAATGCAGTCCTCAAAATTCCCAGTGGAGACCTGGGCTGCCTGCTGTGGTACTGAGGGGGCCCCTCCAAGAGCCCCCTCCTCTGTTCACTCCCCCCCCTGCCAAGCCAGCTCCAGCCCTGGGCACCCCTGTCCTCAGCAAAGCGCTGCTGACTGACCACCTGCCGGAGCCAAGAGGCGCTCTGGGAAGGGGACCGTCTGGTTTCAAGGGCCAGCTGGGTGACCTTGGGCCAGTCACGGGTTGCTTTTTCTTCCTTCAAATGGACACGTAAGGAGAGGGAACAAGATCTTTCTAGAACTCACTATAATTGATTGGGCCATAGCCACCCCAGCCTTCCCTGAACCCTCCCCTGCCGCAAGCTGGGGGCAGCGCGGAGTCATCCCCTGCGCTCCAGGATTTCTCCGTGGGGTGCTGGTCCTACCCTTGGGCATCTCCCGTTTCAGCTCTCTCAGGGCTCCCCTGGGGCGCCAGGGCACCTGACAGCCTCTGGCCAGTTACGGAAGAAAGGAAGGAAGCAGGGTCAAAGCCGCAACCGCCTCTTCCGCTCCTGGGGCGTCTGCGGGGCCGCCGGGGACTCTCCCACCTCCCCCGAGGCTCCTGGCCCTTCTAAGCACGCGGGCTCGCAGCACGACCGGCTCCGAACGCGCCGGGTCCGCCTCTGTCCCCTCCCTGGCCGGAAGTGACGAGTTCCACCCACCTTGGGGCCAAAGGGAGGACCCAAGGGTTACGGTGGTTTTTTTGGGGGGGGGGAGGAAAAGGAACAGGGAGCCCCACACGCGGAGAAACCTTTTGTGCCTTTTCCGCGGGCCCATATGGTGTACCGAGTATTAATTACCGTAGCTTTTTAATTAACAATCGCTTAATCTGAGCGATTGCCATGACACCCTATTCCTCGCCGCGAACCCGCACCGCCCGCTCATCAATTAATTTTTATTGACGTTTTCTTCCCCAAACAGGCACAATACCAGGGTTTTCCAATTAACACCTCCGCGATCTCTAATTAGTGCAATTAACAGACTGATGGATGCCCGGAGTTTACCCGCAAGGGAGGGAGGGAGCGAGGGAAGGGGCGGGGCAGCCCCCAGCGCGCTCTCACACACGTGCATGCGCGCAGCCGAAGGGGCGCACCCCCAGCTCTCAGGGGGAGCCCGGCTGGTGGGGACATGACCACAGGTAACCTGTACCCAGAGCAGTGGTGGTGATTTGAGTTGAAAATGCAGACACCGGTTCAGGCCCTTGGGAAACCTAGAATATAGTCAGGGGGGCAGTTGAAAGCCTGAGACTGGAAGCTGGGAAGCTGGCTTCTAGCCCCACCTCTGTCACCAATTTGCAGTTTAACTTGGGGGCAAGTTCTTCCGTTTCCTTCTCTGTAGGATGATGGGAGAAACTGGACCAGATGTAGCTATCTATTTACAATGTATATACTCCTATCAACTTCCAAGAAAGGCTGGGAAGCAGACTGCAATAAGATAGACAAAGCTACTTAAAATACAATACCATGGGGGTAGTACACCGGAGAATAAATGGGCCAAGACCTTAAGTCAGAGGATCTCAAGCTTCAGAGCATCAGAATCACCTTGGGGGGCTTGTTAAAATACAGATTACTGGGCTGGAGCTTCTGATTTTAGGCCTGGAGTGCCCTGAGAATTCATATCTTAAAAGTTCCTAGGTGATGCTGATTTGGCCTGTCCAAGGCAACAGCAGGGCTCCAATGACAAGCAATGGCTTCAGTTATGAGCTTCCTGGTGACTAAAACGAGGTGATCTACCTCCAAGACCGTTCATTCATTCAACATGGATTTCATGCCCAGTTAAGCC